GGGAGCCTTATCTGTAAAAGTTTAAAACAATTAGTGTGTTCCCTTAGTGAATTTAGATAAGGCAATAAGAAAACGTAATTTACCTGAATCGCGTGTGTAATGCATTTGCGCAACACATTTCGAACAATCTGATCACACACGGACTTATTATTATTTGATCCACAAAATCACCGTCAATGGTTAAAACTTTTTATATATAAAACAATTAGCCCCTTTGATAAATTTGAATAAGACATTAAGAAGACAAATTTCGCGAGATGATATCATTTCGTAGTTTCTTTACAACCGCTTTACAACTAACATGGTTAACAATGGTAAAATAAAGTTCATGAAAATTACTCAGTTAAATAAAAACAAAAGTACATACTAATGACCAATCATATTTAGATAGGTCATGTAGTCCAGGGTAGGCGAAGATTGAAGTCTATTGATTTTTGTACACACAGTTTAGGCTGTATGTGATTAATCCAAACTGCTTCCATCACCTTCAATAACCTTGAATTAGAGTTATGTGAAATAATTGTGAAACAGTCATTAATATTGATTTTGTGACCAGACATTAATAAGTGTTTTGCAATGGATGATGATGCTGGATTTTTATTAAGATTAATCGCGTTAGGATTTTCGATATGATTTAGTAGCCAATTTGGAACATGTTCTTTTCGATGACATTGGAACATTCTGTTAGTTCTACCTATATAGGTGTCACCGCAGCTGCAGGTGAACTTGTAGATACAGTTTGAAGTAGAGTTCACAGAATTTCGTCCTTCAAACTGTATCTACAAGTTCACCTGGAGCTGCGGTAACACCTATATAGGTAGAACTAACAGAATGTTCCAATGTCATCAAAAAGAACATGTTCCAAATTGGCTACTGAAATATATATCCATATAATATGTGTGTTTGTTTGACAGTCTGTTATATTTCGCTATGTATATATGGATCGATACTCCATTATAATTAGCCAATCATGTTAAGACTGTCTATTGATTTGTTCACACACTTGTTTGGACATTCATATATATTTTGCTCTCACACTATTGTGTGATATATTTGATTCTCCTTGTGTTTTGAATATAGAAGTATCATCGCAAACCTAGTGGTCTTCTGATCTCCGTCTTTCTTGCATCAGGACTATTAAATTCTCGACCAGTACATAATAATAATTTGGCGACGAGTACATAACAATTTGGCGACGGGGATGGGATGCTAGAGGCCACGGTACGGGAGGTAGCTGGTGGGGTAGTTTTGCTGATTGTTGACATTTTGAACATCGTTGAACAAAGTCGATAATATGCTTATCCATATTAGGCCAGTATGCGTAGCTGCGAGCAATACTCTTCATCCGCTGAATACCAGGATGTCCCATGTGAAACTGTTTCAGGAGTTTATTTCGTAATGCTCCAGGTATCACTACGCGTTCTCCAAACATCAAGCAATCTTTTACAACACGTAAGGAATCACGACGGGCGAACAGGTGTTTTAGGTCTCCACTATATTTAATCTTTGGCCAGTTACTGGATACATACTGTGTAGCACGTCGTAAGGTGGCATCGGTGCTTGTAGTTCGCTGGATTTCTGCAAACGTTACTGGTAGAGATCGAACAGCATTGTCGATGAGGTTAACTGCATAGTCTTTGGTGGCGATCGATGCAATTACCATATCTTCATTTGATGCAGGATAGTCGCTAATTAGCCGAGATAGAGCGTCGGCTTGACCAAATTAGTTAGTTCGGTTGTATTTAATATCGAAATCGTATCCAAGTAATATTATTGCCCAGCGTTGTAGTTGGTTAGGTGCATGTACCGAGAAACCTGATTTAGATCAGAAAATGGAAAGTAACGGTTTATAATCTGTCAGCAAGGTAAATCGGCGGCCGTAGATCATTTTATGGAAACGTCGTACGGCGAAAACTAAAGCTAAGGCTTCTTTTTCAATTTGTGCATATTTCTTTTCTGCCGCAGTTAGTGTTCGAGATGCATGCATTATTGCTTTTTGTGAACCATCTGGGAAGACATGTAAAATGACAGCTCCCACTCCGCTTGCTGAAGCGTCCGCTGCAACTATAATTGGAAGTGTCAGACTATAATGTGTCAGAAGCAATTCAGAAGTTAACATAGACTTCAACTTTTCAAAAGCTGATCTGCAAGCTTCGGACCATTTCCAGGTTGCATTCTTTTCGAGTAGTCGATTGAGGGGGTGTCGAACATTATGTAGCGCAGGGAGAAATGCAGAGTATAGCTAATTAATCCCAAGAAAGAGCGTAAGGAAGGCACATCAGTAGGTGCGGGCATCTCTTTTATAGCACGTATGTTGTCAGGATCTGGACATCTACCCGATGCATCAAATATAAATCCAAGGTATTTGACAGATCTCAAGGAGAACTGACACTTCTCTGAGCGTAGTCGTAGACCGTTGTCCTGCATGCGTGACAACACAGCTTCTGTCCTGCTGTAAAGTTCGTTTATAGAATTCGCTACCACCAAGATATCATCAAGATAGACGGCAACACCCAGAATACCTGCCAAGATAGTATCCATCAGTTGTTGGAAAATAGCTGGGGCAGTTTTAACTCCGAAAGGTAATCTGTTGTATTGGAACAAACCGCGATGTGTAATAATGGTAAGGAGTTCTCGGCATTCTGGGGCTACTTCAACTTGTAGATATGCGTCAGCAAGATCCAGTTTTGCAAAATAAGATCCACCATTTAAAACGGTGAATAAATCATCCGGCGTAGGTAAAGGATAGTGGTGCTGTCCTAATGCAGCATTCAACCCAGTAGAGAAATCAGCACAAATACGTAGGGACCCATTCGCTTTCTTGACTACGACGATGGGTGCTGCCCATGCCAAGTACGTGACTGGTGTTAATACGCCTTGTTGTTGCAGTCTCTCCAATTCTTCGTCCACTTTTGGTCCAGAATTCATATTGATTTTGCTGGCCCTACAAATGGTGCATATTATTTAGTGATGGTAGACGCTTTTTCTAAGTGGCCAGAAGTTATACCAGTGGTTTCGCCGACAACGTCCCAGACTCTCAAAGCGCTTACTGATGTATTCTCTCATCATGGTCTCCCAGAAACCATAGTTACAGACAGTGGTTCGCAGTTTACCTCTCATCAGATTCAGCAGTTCTGTCGTCAAAATGCCATCGAGAATATGTTCACACCGCCGTATCATCCTCAGTCAAACGGCCAAGCGGAACGTTTTGTCGACACTTTGAAGAGAGCCTTACTCAAAGCAGAGGGAGAGGGGACACCATTTGACATCATCCAAAAATTCTTGGTGGTGTAACGTACAACGGCGAATGAGTCAACACAGAACAAGAAATCGCTGGCAGAAATTCTTTACGGACGCAAACTTAGAACGACTCACAACTCAATGTTACCACCGACACCCAAACGTGGCGACGCATCATTTCAGAATGGAAAAAAATTTGACGTTGGTGACCCTATCTATGTCCGCGACTATCGAGCAGGACATAAACCTTGGAATAAAGGTTCCATCGCAGCACGACGTGGTCGAGTTATGTACGACGTGAAAGTTGGTAATGATTTATGGACCCGTCACTACAATCAGCTGCGTCCAAGAAACTCAAATATCCCTACCAGTACACAGTCATCCCTACCTCTGGATATTCTCTCGGATACTTTTAACTTACCTACGACTGACAAAACAGAAAAGCAAAGGTGCGCAGCTCAGACAACTCCAGACAAAGCAGAAGCCGCAAACTCAACAAGCAGACGAAGCAACAGACATCGACAACAAACTGAACGGTTTCAGATAAACCCCAAGAAAGCACGCTATTAATCATCAATTTTCTCAAAAGGGGAGGTGATATGTATCCATATATATATATGGTGGTCACTCTCTTTCTGTTGCTCTCTTAGTCTGTGACCATTTCACTTTGATGAACCTGTCTACTTTAACAATGTATATTCCCCTTATATTATATATAATATGTGTGTTTGTTGACAGTCCGTTGCTTGGTGACATATATCCATATATGGTGGTTGTTGACATGTCTGTTATATTTCGCTATGTATATATGGATCGATACTCCATTATAATTAGCCAATCATGTTAAGACTGTCTATTGATTTGTTCACACACTTGTTTGGACATTCATATATATTTTGCTCTCACACTATTGTGTGATATATTTGATTCTCCTTGTGTTTTGAATATAGAAGTATCATCGCAAACCTAGTGGTCTTCTGATCTCCGTCTTTCTTGCATCAGGACTATTAAATTCTCGACCAGTACATAGTAATAATTTGGCGACGAGTACATAACAGCTACTAAATCATATCGAAAATCCTAACGCGATTAATCTTAATAGAAATCCAGCATCATCATCCATTGCAAAACACTTATTAATGTCTGGTCACAAAATCAATATTAATGACTGTTTCACAATTATTTCACATAACTCTAATTCAAGGTTATTGAAGGTGATGGAAGCAGTTTGGATTAATCACATACAGCCTAAACTGTGTGTACAAAAATCAATAGACTTCAATCTTCGCCTACCCTGGACTACATGACCTATCTAAATATGATTGGTCATTAGTATGTACTTTTGTTTTTATTTAACTGAGTAATTTTCATGAACTTTATTTTACCATTGTTAACCATGTTAGTTGTAAAGCGGTTGTAAAGAAACTACGAAATGATATCATCTCGCGAAATTTGTCTTCTTAATGTCTTATTCAAATATAAATCTATGTAAATTAGAGTAAAGCCTGATGAAGATCGAATTGAAAACAACAATCTTGTTCGCTTATATACCTTGTTTTAAAAATCACCAGATAACTTAAGTGTATTGACAAAAAATAGAAAAATATGAGAAATTTAATATGAACTATATTTACTACAATAAGATCATAGAAAGTGAGTTAAAGCATATACACTAAACAAATAATTATTCCAGATCAGTTACAGGATTACCATTATATAAGTAATAGTGTTACTTGACCAGCCAGCTTTTCCACTTCACTTCAATTGAAAGCAATAAAACCACACAGAGATGCAATTTCAACAGCAATTAAAGCTGTCCATAACAGTAGTCTAGGATGTCCTGAATGTAGATGCATTTTGCTTGCGTAGGTTGTAAGAAATATTATCTAAAATTTAATTAAAATCTAATGCTATGAATCTAGATGTATTATCAAGTTATATTTTGTAGATATTGACTAATATACATTTCTAATACATAGAGCTAATGTGTTATAGAAAGAACATTGAGAACAACACCAACTACACTGTTAGGCAACATTATCTTTTAACAAAGCATTTAAAGCATATATAGTGTTCGATAAGACGAATCCGTCGTTTATTTCGTTAGCTGCTATACTTATATGCGCAGTGTGATCTCTCTCTATAAATATGACATTATCCTATGGTCAGCCTGCAAAATTTGAGCTACCGATATCACATACTGAAAATTCCAAACTTGTACCGAAAATACAGGGTGGCATCAAGCTGTGATCATGATAAAAAAAGTGTCTATACTATTAAAAATGTTATCCTATTCGTGATGGCTACGGCTTGTGCTCATGATCATGTTGGTTTGCATAGATTTGGTTGGTTTCAGAATTTCATCATGAGCTGAAATCGGTTGAAAAACCATAGAAACACCTGAGAGTACTAGATCGCCGTTTCGTCATTCTATGCCGGGACTCTTCATTAGCACACATGCGGCTGGGGTTCGGAACCAGGATCTTCCAGTTACAAGATGAGTTCGTAGATCATTCAGCCACTGAAACACGATTTAATGGTCAGTGCATGAATTTCAGCTTCTGTCGATTCATAGCGACATAGCGCGACAACTAGCCAGTGTCATCGCTGGCGAGTATTTGCCCTCACACCCGGCATGCTGTAGAGCTGTATGTCAGACGACACCTTTTCTCGTCAAGAGTAAGTCACAACATAGTTCATTTTGAAGTCTTGCATGAGGCAGCAGTACATTGCTGAAATTATCTTATATCAGAGCAGATACAACGATTTGACTTTATGACGAAAATATTTTAAAGATATGGTAAATTGGCTCACCATAGCTGCAGCACAGGTAACAAAAAGGTCAGCTATCGCTGTGCAAACCTGAGAAACAAAAAGGGGAAAATATTTAAATCTATGAACTTAGATTAGAATATAAGTGCTGGAGGTTAGTTCTTCAAATATTTCATGCAAAATGACATCAAGAGTTAGTTTGTCAATATTTGGTTGGTTTCAATTTTAATCACGGATTGATATTAATTAGAGGAACATTTAAAACCAGCTGGCAGGACTGGAAAGCTGTTTTGTTTTATTTTGGAACACTCCTTGAGCAGTACGCAACCAAGAATACTTTGATTGGACACCAGTAATTAGTGTGATGTGTCTAGTCCTTACTTCGGTGCAGAGTGAATTCTGTTCGTCAGATTTTCAGTGTGGCGACCATTCTAGGTAGCTTGCTATCAAGGTGCCCATTGATTTGATGATATTAGATTGTTGGAGGCAATCGGCAAGAAGCCTCTAACCTAGGTTGGGTCCTAGTAAGGACTAGACACATCACACCAATTACTAGTGTCCGAACAAAGTATCTACTATAGTCCTACAGGAAGTCAATTGCGAGCCCGAATAGCTCAGTGGCAATGTCTTTGACTACAGCACTCACTGATTGACGCAGGTTCGAATCTCAGAAGGGACATGAGTCCCTTCAAAGTTACAGGTAAGAAGCAATGAGCACGAAATCAAGGTCCAAGGCTTCCTGCCGATTGCATTCAACCATCTAATACACACCCAAGACTCCAATGCCGGGGATCTAACCAACGTGTTTCAGGTCCCGAGGAAAGCCAGTTGGTGATTCAGCCACTGAAAACGAATCCTATGTTCCATGAATTCAAACTTTCTTCACACGGCTACATTAGCCAGGCTGGTACGTCTCATAACCTGAAGGTTCTGGCTGGGGTCCCTGATATTGAGTTGGTGGCTCGCATACTGCTGAAATGGAGTCCAAAACTAAGACACATCAGTTGTCCTGTAATTCCTTGACTTTCAGTGGTTCTATAACTGACATCACTCCATAATCAAACTTGAAGCAAAACGATGTCATTTCTTTGAATGCGATTATTTGGCACATCTGATGTTTATGATTGATTCGAAACTAATATTGGACAGCAACAACAGCAACAGACAACAATCAGCCAGGATACATGGAAGGAACTTGAAAGAAACAACCTCCTTCACCTGCCTCCCTGTAAAGCATCGTTTCAACTACAGGCGGACGGAACTGACGAGGATATCAAAGCAGAAATCGGAAAAGCAAGACAAGCTTTCATTACTCTTAAGTCTGTGTGGAGGTCAACATCACTCACCATCAAAAATAAGATCCGGATTTTCAACTCCAATGTGAAGTAAGTCAGTGCTACTCACTATACGGATCAGAGACTTGGCTAGCGCGTCATAAAGATCACGTCGAATAAAGAACAGACCTTCATTAACAGCTGTCTTCGCTCAATACCACTCAAGATCAGATGGCCGGCGAGAAGAGATCAGAAACAGGGATGTCTGGCAATCTGTGAACCAACCCAGCGGGAACCGATTGTGAAACAAATAGGCAGGAAGAAATGGAGATGGATTGGCTGACCATACTCTGAGGAAACAATCCATCAAGTGACATCACTAGACAAGCCATTGCTCGAGTGGATATCGACAGAATGGGAAGCGACGAGTTGGTCGTCAGTGCAAGGGCGACTTGGAGGAGATCATGTGAAGAGGAGGTGAAAGCATGTGGGTGGCAGACTTGGAGAGGGGTGAAAAAGTTGGCAGAAAACCGAAGGCACTGGAGAATTGGGCAGCTGAATCCCTATGTTCCTCTAGGAATTAAAGGATATATTAATAATAATTTGGCACATCTGATGTTTGTGATTGATTCGAAACTAATATTGGACTAAGATATGTGGTGATATTAGTAAATTTATAAGAAGGTTAATGGCTAGGACAACATAAAATACCATGCTAAGTAGTCTGGTAGAAGGACTTTAGATGAATAGGCTTTCGGAAGCTACAATTACTGCTTTACGTAAGTCATTATAAGAGCAGGAAACACAGCTATCCTGTTAGAACGGACAACCTGTCGTTGCTAGAGTGATAGCTTGATTCGGCAGTTTTTGATTAGTTTATATTTGGCTTTAATTTCCGAGGTTTTCGTTGTCGTTGCAGTTAAATCAAACCATTATTTCCATCTCTCTGTAGGTTAGTTAGCAGAACTCAAAGTTTCTGATGTTCTGGAAATGACTTCTGCTTAGAGTCTGCTTCCAAATTCACCACAAAAACCTTGAATAATAGGTTTTGTACATATAATAGTCGGAATTTCGCTGTAGAATCAACTGACGATTGATTCAAACATATTGATACAAATACAACATAATAGAAACCAGAACATACTTACCAAAGAATTACATGAACGAACTAAATAAATTCCACACAATATGAGTGAGATAGCTGATATAAGCATTAGAATCCATTGTCTTCTCCGCCTGACATGTAATTCCAGTCCTAACCCACATGCCAACAAACTTACAAAGATTGTAATGATTATTGCTAAAGCAGCTTTCCGATAACCGGTAGTCAGGCAGAATAAGGCTGTAGCAATGATCCATAGTATGATCTAAATTTAAAAAAGTTAAATAATAAGACTGGGTGAAGGGTTGTTACATAAAAAAGAGGAGCTTAAATGCAAATTGGTGTACGTGTGTGTGTGTATCATTCTTTGTCCATTAAGGTTATTTTTAATACAATGTGACATAATCTCCTGCATTTTAGTGGATCTCGCTTTTATATTTTGCCTTGAGAGATGTGAAGTATAATTAGCCTGTGGATTGATTGAAGTCATTTCAGAGACTTATTTCAAATAGTTGTGTCGAATAATTTCTCATGTAATCACCTCTGACAGTGTTAATATTCCCTTGGGTTCCAGGAGGACAACAGGACTTTGGCAGTATATCTTCACTTCACCTTGTTCAGTGCAACTCTACAAGCTGGCTGTATGCTTGCTCAAAAGCCTTCCTTTCCTTTTCGTATGATCTCCTCTGTGTCACACTCGGACGTACACCTGACTCATCAAGACAGGATATAGATAGATTTTTAAAACACATCAACTCGAAGGTGGAGACAATTCATCAATTCACTTATGAATTGGAAAGTCAGGAAGCGGGAGAACTTCTAATCTTAGATTGTAGTGTAAAAAGGAAAGAAGATGGGAAGTTAAACACACGCTAGTGTGTTTACAGGAAACCCACTCACATTCAAACAGATGTTTGAACTTCAGATCATCCTATCCTATGTCAGTAAAAGAAATAGGATTGATGAAATCTAAGACGGGAAGTGATGAATAAAAGAGAAGCCTTGAACCGTATAATTACTCTGATAAATTAGTCAGAAAGTATGTAGGGAAATGTAAAAATAAAATTATTAATGATAGTAGTGATAGTAATAGTAATAATAATATTGATGACGACATGCAACTTGAATGTGTGCAAGACAACACGAACAATAAGGAATCTAAATCATTACTGGTAATTGCATACAAGGAAGGAACCTCAGAAACCACCTTGCGCAGAATTTTTAACAAGACATGCAGGAATATTAGTGATTGGCATTCAAAACAACAAACTCAATTAGAAACAATCTTTGTCGGTTAAAGGATCCAGTCAGTGGAGCCTTTAAAACAAAACAATTTCGTTTATCTAATACCGTGCCTGCAATGATTTTCAGGTCATATACATAGGTCAAACTAGTGGAACAAGGGCAGTTAGACTAGCTAAACCTAAATATGTGGCAAAATCTAGATTAGGGGGCCCGAATGAGTTAAAAAATGTAAAGAGAATAGTTCAGCTATACCACTCACTACATGCAGTTGCACACAATCATACAATATGCTGGATGGCATAAGATGACAGTTTTAGAATCTAATGTCACCTCCAACCTCCAACCATCGTATAATAACAATCCTAAGTGTGTTATTATGGTAAGTTACCTAGTGGCACGGTGGCCACATTGCAATCATCAGTGATCAAATTTGGTCTGTAGTAAACAAAGGATTAGGCACATGACACCAGTTACTGACTATTGTCCGATCAAAAATATCCTAACATCTTTAGGAAACCAACATATTCTAAAAAATATATGGACTGTGGTTCGCCTCTCAATAACTTTGAAAAGGCAGATTTCGTTGAGTGTTTATACAAACGAGCCAGCAGCCTGGTCAGTCAGTCAGAGAATTCAAATGATAAAGTTAAACAAATAAGAAGAATAATTACAGTGAATAACTACCTAGCAGACAAACACAGTCTTCAGATTGGTTGCTTCTCGGAAGTTAAGCAGAAAAACGCAGTCTTCTGATTGGTTGTTTTGGGTTTTCTCGGATAGTGGAGCCATCTATCTGCGAATCATATTTGCCCACGTTAAGTCTGCTGTGATTGGTTGTTAAATCAGCCTTGCTCATATTTTCTTACGGCCAATATTAGTGACCTAGACATTGACGTAGATTAAGGACTACCAATTGGCTAGCAGCCTGCTCTCACCACATATCAACTCTAAACACCGAGTAGCCCTGCATGAATGCTTCACAGTGCTACACAGAGTCCCTCAATATCCTACAAAGGGAATTCAAATACGCCATCTGTACGTAGATGAATCATTAGCTATTCTGGACCTGAAACTGGACCTCTGCATTTGAAAGCACCACATACACTCCTTCGCCCTACCGCGTCCAGAGTAATGTTCTAACTATAATTTTGTCTCCTTTTATTATATAAGTTTATAATTATTGTTATTCTCATCATCCTTAATTTATTGTCACTCTATTACTGTTTATGTATAACATTGCGTTTTCATACAGACTTTATATAAAAACACTTCATCGTCTCTCCACTAGCTCTTGTCCACTCTACACAGTCTTATTGATTAGTCATTTCCTTGCGTTTATATCATGTCATGCCAACTTCTGCCATCTTTTCTAACTTCCAGTTAGTCAGCACTTCTAGGTTACATCTTACATTACGTAATACATTTTTTCGAGGACAAATTTTACCAGTACCTGATTAGTTGTCGCATGAATTCTTTGCTAAATATAAGTACGATTGTACAGCAAATTTTATGAAAATGAATCGTCAAAAAGAAAATTTCCTTCGCTGTTAACATGTTTTACTTATAAGAGATAAACTTTGAGGGTTGAAGTATTCGATAGATTCAAGAAAGAAAAATAATATAATTTACTAAATACCATCTAATGTCAACCACATCTGTCGAACTACTAGATCGATGTTAGTTACGATTATGAGCAAACGTTTGTGCTCAAAACGTCATCAGTTAATATTACTGTATAAAACTGTGTGATTTATCAAAATAAAATCTACCCCAGTGCCCAGGTTTTATACTGATATCGGTGTCAGTTAGTTAATCGGAGAATAGGAGCTTAACAAAAGCTACAATAATTGACCCTGCTAAGTTAAATGACTCGAATAACGCGATAGGTGGGACAGGGTGAAAGTATTATAAAGAAATATAGTAGTGTGAAGATAGAAGGAGAAGTTAAACAGTGAACCTTTGTTTATTGCATCAAAATCAAACGCTCACAATCGAAATTTCGCAACACTTATATCAGATGTTTGGAAAATTGCTGTAGGAAAAAATCTAGCAAGGGGTAAAACGATATAAAGCCGGTTTTCGAACTCTATGAGAACTAATTTCTATGATAATAAGCGGCAAACAACTTCGAAAAGGCTTTTGACAGCGTTGATCGACAAAGAAGTTATTTCGAAACTGCTCCAACACTCCTCATCCAACATTTATATGACAATGTCAAGTGTCAGGTGATCCACAATGAGAAACTCAGTGAAACGTTCTAAGTGTATAAAGGAGTAAGACAAGCTGACTGCCTACTATCTCCGACGATATTCTTAGCTGTGGTGGACTGAATTATGCATCATAGTGTGTGCATTGGGAGTGAGAAGACAGCAATAGGTTGCACTGACCGATGAGAAGACTCGAGAAGATCTGGATTTCGAGCGTGGATGATTTATGCTAAATGTCACACAAATTCGAAGATTTGCAGGCGAAAATCAACAAACTGGCTGAAGAAGCACAGAAGACAAGACTTCAAGTGAACATAGAGAACGACGGAGGTGATGAAAATAACCAATCAACCAACCAACCAACAGCAACAACAACAACAACCAGCACCAATCACCATTAACGGAAGAGATATGACAAAGGTTACTTCCATCACTTATCTAGAATGTTGAATGGATTGAAGATATTCAATCCAGCCGGAATCGGAAAGGGAAAATATGTCTCCATCAACCTACATCCAGTTTAGAAATCTGCACTCCGCCTCATCATAAGGCATATTACTTGGATTAACCAAACAAATGTGAAATGAGGGAGTCAGTCACTTCTCCTATACTGGTCAGAAACTTGCACTATAAGTCACGAAAAGGATTTCAAGCAGCCTACTGCAGACTATAACAGACCAACAGCTTCACCCTTCACTGGCTGGCTCCATACTGAACCTGCCATCAAATGGCCAGCCAGCCGGCCGGCCAGCCAGAAAGAATTCCCAACAAGAAAGTGTGCCGATAAACAGAGAGAACAAGAGATGATCGCTTAGCAAATATGTAAGGGAGAAAATAGAGATGGATGCATTGGGCGTACAGTGAAGAGGCAGTCAAATGGTATCACACGGCACGCTGAAGCTCCAGTGGAATCTCAATGGGAAAAGTGACGAGTGGGTCGTCGGTTTGAGTTTGACATGGAGGAGATCGTGTGTCGGGAAGAAGGAGATGAGAGGTTATGTTCCACTTGGAGCCCGACCAAGGGGATACTAATAGTCAAATGTACTCGAAACATCATCAAGTTATGTGAATACTCTACCACAATATCTGAATTCCACATCTATATGAATATTTTTTTAAATGATGTTATTTACCGTTTACAAACTAACACCACAAATAAATAAAATTTCTTTTATTATGTATATTTTTTCATAAAAATTCTAATCAATTAACTTACTATGAGCGTGATCAGAATGAGATTTTTTGGATATTGTGTTTGTAGCCTCGTATTTACTGTAATGATTATTACTATGCAAAAATCCAACAGTCTAAAGGGGAGGAGGAAATCAATCAACATTTCAGGGTGTACACTGAATTTTTACATATGATGTATTATAATATATATATATATATGTATCAGAAAGGCTAAATGTTTCTTTGAAAATTTTCATTTAGAAAAGACTTATCTGAATAGAAGTTATACTTCGAATTGAAAATGACATCACTGGTCAGTTATTATTTATTATTATCCTTTAATTCCTAGAGGAACATAGGGATTCAGCTGCCCAAGTCTCCAGTGCCTTCGCTTTTCTGCCAACATTTTCACCCCGCTCCAAGTCTGCCCACATGCTTTCACCTCCCCTTTACATGATCTCCTCCAAGTCGCCCTTGCACTGACGACCAACTCGTCGCTTCCCATTCTGTCGATATCCACTCGAGCAATGGCTTGTCTAGTGATGTCACTTGATGGATTGTTTCCTCAGAGTATGGCCAGCCAATCCATCTCCATTTCTTCCTGCCTATTTGTTGCACAACCGGTTCCTGGTTGGTTCGCTCACTGCCAGAAATCCCTGTGGCTGATCTTTTCTCGCCGGCCATCTGATCTCGATTAGCATTGAGTGAAGAAAACTATTGATGAAGATCTGTAGTTTGTTTGAGGTGCTCTTCATGACGCGCTAGCCAAGTCTCTGATCCGTATAGTGAGTAGCACTGACTGACTTCACATTGGATTTGTAAATCCGGATCATATTTTTGATGATGAGTGATGTTGACCTCCACACAGATTTGAAAGTAATGAAAGCTTGTCTTGCTTTCCCGATCTTCGCTATGATATCTTCGTCAGTTCCATTATCCTGTAGTTGAAACGATGCTTCCAAGGTAGGTAAGGGAGGTTGTTTCTTTCAGGTTCCTCCCATTCATGCTGATTGTTATCTGTTGTTGTTGCTGTTGGACAGGAATCTTCATCACCTCTGGTTTATCTATGTTCATCTGTAGCCCCATCTGTGATACTTCTTCTGCCAGCTTGTTGCTTTTCACTTGCATATCTTCCATTTTGTGGGAAATCAGACAAATATCATCGGCGAAGTCCAGATCCTCCAAGTCTCTTTTTGTGTAAGTCCATTTTATGCCTGTTTCCTCATTGCCCGTCGTTGTCAGTCGCATTATCCAATCTACTGCAATCAGGAAGATCATTGGTGTTAGTAGACAGCGTTGCCTCACTCCCATCCTCACTTCGAAGGCTTGCATAAGTTTCCCGTTGTGGATTACCTGGCATGCAGCATTGTCGTATAACTGTTGGATGAGATGTATAATTGTCGATGGCACCCCGTAGCAGGGAAGTAGTTGCCAGATGATCTCTCGATCGACGCTGTCGAAGGCATTTTCAAAGTCGATGAAGTTGAAATAGAGAGGTGACTTCCATTCCAAGCTTTGTTCAATGATGACCCGTAGTGTGGCGATTTGGTTTTTAAGAAATTATATCCGGTGATGAAATTAGGTCAAAGATGTGAATACATGAAATAACAATAATAGTAGCATGAAATGCAATTAAAATATTTGTGATTATAATCATAGTTTAATGTCAAGTGGCAAAATAATTAATGTTATATATAGAATAATACATAAGGTGTACTGAAAATTCATAAGACAGGATTACCGCCCCGTCCAATCCTCGATATGGCAGGTTCTCCTTATCACGGAATCGCTCAGCGGCTAGCTGAAATACTGGAACTTGTCAGAAGGCAAGTATCTAAGTTTTCCATTGATAATACGTTTAAATTTCATTGATAGCATTAAAGATTCTAATGTCTCAGACAATGTCATGTTCTTATTAGATTTGACGTCGCTATTTACCAATGTTCCTTTCATGAAAACTGTTTGCTGTTTATGTGATTATATTGATACAGATATTTTAGAAATAGGGTTGCCGACAATCCACCTCAAAGGGCTTTTATTGAGATGCACGTTGAATGTTCACTTTACCTTCAATAATGAGATTTTTAGACAGAGAGATGGCATTACCATGGGATCACCACAGGGTCCGTCGTTGGCTGATTGTTTAATGGCAAAGCTTGAAAACTCTCAACTTAGTCAAACCATAGGTCATTTTGATATTTATAAAAGATACGTAGACGACACTTTTGTCATCTGCGTTAATAAAGTAAATCTTGATGATGTCTTGTTTGCTTTCAACAACTGCCATCCATGTAGACAATTCACCATAAAAAAAATCCAAACTAAGTATTGCGTTTCTTGATGTGTGCCTTAGCAGACATGATGACGGATCTCTGAAAAGATCTATCCACCGGAAACGTACATGGAAAGGACAACTAACTAATTTTTACAGTTGGGTGCCTATTTCCAGTAAAAGGAACCTAATTCATTCGCTCTGCTTTAGGATAAGGAAAATTTGTACTTCTTATTGCGTTGACTCAGAACTTGACTTCTTAAAAGCCACGCTCACAGAAGGCGGTTACCCTAGCCGATTTATTGACAGCAACATGAAAAATAAGCAGTCTAAACTGGTCACCGACTCAATTCCAAAGAAAACCTTATTCATGAACTTGGAATTCAAAGGTGATCAAGCTTCAGATATGCTCAAAAATCATCTTTCTAAATCAGTCAGTAAGACGTTCTTTGCAGCAAAATTACATATGACGTTCACGAGCTGCAAATTGTTCTCTACCTCTGTAAAAGATATGCTAACCCGCTTGGCCGCTTCCGTGTGCATCTACCAGTTCACCTGCTCTTGTGGAGCAAGGTACATTGGCCGTGGTCAGAGGACGCTTTACACACGGATACGGGAACATATACCAGTATGGCTTTAAAAGGGAGAAAGGAAGTGTGTGCGAAGCTCTATTTTGGAACACCTGATCGACTTCTGTCACTCTGTCAACCCTGACCATGATTTCAAGATCATACATCGAATCCTGCGTTTTCTTCGTTACAGACTTCTAAAGATAGCTGAGGCCTTAGCAATTCATGAATTTAAGCCAGACCTTTGTATACAGAAGAATTATGTACAATCTCAGTTTCTGCCTTGGCCGTAGAGGGATAGACATTTATTTATTTTGTTTATTTAGTTATTCTATATACTTTTTCCTTATTACTACGATTATTATTATTATTGTTATTATTACTATTCTCACTCTGAATCTTTTCCACTTGGCCCACTTGTCATTCTAATCCCAAAATTATTCATGTGTATACTTTTTATTTTTATTTTATTTTTACAATATTGAATTCTATCTTGTCGAATTTCACACCATGCTATGTAACATTTTATATTCGTCTACTAATCCTATAATTATGTACCCGTTTCCAAAATCTATACACCTTATGTATTATTCTATATATGACATTAATTATTTTGCCACTTGACATTAAACTATGATTATATTCACAAATACTTTAATTGCATTTCATACTACTACTATTATTATTATTTCATGTATTCACACCTTTGACCTAATTCCCTCACCGGATATAATTTCTTTAAAAAGCCATATATACACGATTGTACAGCTTGATAATAAATTCGTTGTTGAAAAGAGTCTCTTCTCTGAATACTGTGTTCTTAATGCTGCCATGGGAATTATTAAATCATATGATATTGAGCATAAACATTTTCCTTAAATAATCTATCTACTGTTTTTTCTGCATTCCTTGAGTGCAGAAGACAGCATCTAGCTTCAGGTCTGGAGCCATCAATTATCAGTAGCCCAGGCCTTTTTGATATTAACATAGTGGGATTGTTCGCTCACACTCACAGTCTAACACTTTCTCAAGCTTTCTGTTAGATAGTAAACGAGTTAATAGTTTGTAAGCGTCTCGGACGTGAATATAACTGCATGGTAATTGGCTATGAGAGTTTGGCAAAAATTTAACCAATGAGTAGCCAACACGAAAGAAATACTACTTTACTAGTGGCATTTGAAAATGAGTATAACAGTAACATTGGAAGTGCATCAATTTAAAACTTACAGACATGCTATTGCCAAAAGAAAGAACCCATTTTTCCATAACTGTCGTCGCCAAATAAATTCCCAAATATTCATCTGTACAAGAAATAAATCATATTGTAGAATAATATGCTGGAATACTATTAGGACAATAGTGAAATGCACTAAGGTAGTCATCAGCCCCTTATTATATATAGTCCAGTGATATTATAAATGCAGTGACGAGGGTGTGATGATGTATGTAAATGTACTACCTTCGTTGAAGCAGAAGCTTTCTAGCGACTGCATTCGATATGCTCACGTTAATATTGCATAATGTTTGGAAGAAAGGAAAGGTGCCTACTGATTGGAAGAAAGTCTAGTTCCCTTGTCAATGAAGGGTCACTTAGGCCTCTGAAAGAACTGGCGTAGAAGAATGCTTTTGTCCACCTATGCCAAGTAAAATACTAAATCGCATCATCCTGGAGAGAATAAAGGATACACTGCACGCAGAACTCTGCCAGCCCGGAACAATATGGATTCAGGAGAAGCAAATCATGTGCTGATCAAATTGTAACTCTACGCATCGTCATCATGCAACGAAGCATAGAATGGCAGTCAACCCTGTACCTTAACTTCATCGACTTCGTAAAGGTCTTCGACAGCATTGGATCATGAGGCGATTTGAAAATTACTTCAAAACTAAGGCATGCCCCTTTCAAGGAGATAGACAATGCCGTCTACTGTCAGCGATTATATTTTTAATTGTAGTAGACTGGTGTTAGGGCCGAAAATACATAGAACCATTTTAAAGACACTGGGAGATGTGAACTTTAAGGATGATTTATGTTTAATATCGCAGAGACTCGAAGACGTGCAGGCGAAAAACAACAAACTGACAGGAGAATCAGGTAGCTAAAACGGGATTTCAAGAGAACTTAGAGAAGATGGAGGTGATGAAAAGAACCAACCAACAGTAACCAGAACTAATCACTGTTTACGGTAGAAAGTGAAATAGGCCACTTCCTCTACTTCTCTAGGTATCGTCATTTCAACTTATAGGCTGTGGTAGAGGTGAGTATGTTAAACTAGGCACAAATAGGATCTTTATCAATCTGAAATTTGGTATAGAATTGACACTACTTAGAAAGTAGAAAAAGGAGGATTCGAATTTTCCCTACTAAGCCCAAGCCAATCACTGTCTCTATGTGGTTTAGATACTAAAGCATGAGGGTCACCAGAAGTGTTTCCAAAAGCAAGCTGTAGATTTTCATCATCATCACCTGTCTTCGATCCAAAACTGAAGATCAGATGGCTGGATGTCCAGGAAGGATAAGCTGCAAAAACTCTGGCTAATAACGGACCAACCAAGAAAATATCACATTACAAATATCTAGAAGGAAGTGGAGACGGATTGAACGTACGCTAAGGAGACTTGTGAATGAAATAACTCGTTGGGAAATGCCTCGAGTGGAACATGTATTGAGAACGATGATTTGGAGTTGAGCACTGAAAGAGTGACATGGAGGAGATCGTTTGAAGAGAGGATGAGAGCATATATTTCAACCTGGAGTCAGTTAAAAAGGAATACAGTGAATTAAGTGAGACGGTGATCCACTGTAGAAGCCAAATATTACACTCAGAACTCAAAGGAATAATACTGATAATTTATCCGTCCAAGTTCCGAATAACCTGATAGCATGGTCTTATAATGGTAACCAGTATTTCGCTTGGAAGGCGAAATTTCTGAATGTTTGACGCTAAAAACTACTGACTAACTGATTTAAGTAGTTGGATCACACTCTGACCAACCAGTTAGGCTTCCTGGCTAGCCAAATCGAAGTTTTCTAAACATCAAACTGTCATCAAACCCATTTGGGTCAGTAATCATCAGTGAGCGATCGCACGAGGTGCTATTTGGGACTGTGGAAACCAATAATGAAATGATGATACGCAAATGAAGCCCCATGCTAGATTCAGCGAATGTTGTTATCCTCTATTCTCCATTGAATTCTTCAAAACAATTTTAATTCGAAGAAAATTGAATACCCCACGACTGGCTTTAACACTTTCAAGCCTTCATCACTCTTAAATCTGTGTGGAGGTCAGCAGCGCAGCTCAGCATGAAAACACAAGATCCGAATTTTCAACTCCAATATGAAGTCGGCCCTACTTACTATACGGATCAGAGAATTGGTGCGTCGCTAAGCGCAATTAAAGCAAACCATAGACCTTCGTCAATGGCTGCCTTTGCTCAATAATACTCAAAAAAAGTTGGCGGGCTAGGAAGGATCATCAACAGGGAGGTACCTCTGGTAACGAACCCACTCAGCAGAGACCAATTGTGCAACAAATATGCAGGAAGAAATGGAGATGGATTGGAGGCCATACTCTAAGAAAACCATCGAGTGACATCACACGTCATGCCATCACTCAAGTGGAGTCCAATTGGGAAGCGGCGAGTCGGTCGTCCGTGCGAGGGTGATTTGGAAGAGCGAGGGATATGAAGAGGCGATGACAGTATGTGGCTGTCAGACATGGAGCCAGGTGAAAATGTTAGCAGAGAACCGAACGCAATGGAGATGTACGACTGAAGCCGTATATTCCTCTAGGAACTAAAAGAAACAATGATAATCATAAAACTTTTAACTCAGACAAGCTGTATGCGTCAATATATTATTATCAATAGAAAAAACACGAACTCACATGTTTTTCTTGTTACCTTTCCAATATAGTATGATTTCTTTTCATCAGGCTAGACTTTATAATCATGATAGTATAAAAGTGGATTAGGTGTACACATATATAACCATTTGAATTGGTGAAAAAACTAAAGCGACTTTTGTATTCTACAACGTCTTATTTTTACGAATTTATGGAAACAAAGATTAATACAGAAATAAAAAACAACAACCACAACAACAACAACAACAAACTAAAATGTGCAGTTAGGCTCAGTTCAGTTTTGAAATTATTTATATATACGAGTAAAAAAATGAGAGAAAAAAACGAATTTTTTTTTCAAAAATTTGTTATTTTTTTATCACTTGATTTCATCAGTTAATTAATTAGTTAAATCGATCTGAATTATGAACAAATAGTCCTCATGTATATAACCAGTTTAATTCAAGTGGTTACCTAGGCGTTAATCAGATGGTTTGAAAACTGAATTGACTGTCTTGTTTGACTGAGGCGAATCGTATAAAGTACACTGATGATGAGAACTGACTCAAATAGACTAAACGGGTGTCTGGTGTTCAGTAATAATAAACTTAACTGGTTGGTATGGGTGTAGTCCAACTACTTATATCAGTTTGTCAGTAGTTTATAGCGTCAAACATTCAGAAATTTCAGCTTTCAAGTGAAATAGTGGTTACCACCATTATAAGATCATGCTATTAGGTTATTCGGAATTTGGATGAATAAATTACTAGTATTATTCCTTTGAGTTCTGAGTGTAATATTTGGCTTCTACAGTGGATCACCATCTCACTCATTTCACCACATTCCTTTTAAACAGGCTCCAGATTTGAATATAAACTGTCATCTTCTTCTCACACGATCCCCTCTATGTGGCTGGTAAGTGATATAGTTCGATGGTCTTCTCAGCTTGTGGCCTATCGATATCTCAATTTTCCCCGGGATATTCTTTCAATAATGGGCTCTTGGTTGATCCATTACTAGGGTTTCTTGTTGTTGATAGGCGGTAAAGACAGCTGTTGACGGGATTCCACAGTCAGCTGTTGGAAATGCTTTTCGTGACGAGCAAATTAGTTGAATTATATTAGAGAACTGGCTTAACACTAATAGTGAAAATCCGAATTCAGTTTCTTATTCTAAGCATCGTAGTTTTAAAAACTGATCCTCCAGTGATGAGATACTGTCTTGCTTTTTAGATACTGGGTTTGATATCTTCATCTGTCTTGATGATTGTAGTTGAAATTATGCTGCTGAAAGATGTGACTTCTTCTGAATATCTGCCTCCGCCTACTTGAAATGTGATTTTTGGCGCTCCAATCAAATGAAATCCATGTCACTTTCTGTTCCTACACGTGGCATCCAGTCAAAAAACCACTAGTTAACAATCTTTTTTTTTGTTTGGTGTGTCTCAGTAGCAGATTTATCACTCCCGCCCTGTGACACGGCAGCAGGAAGCGCGGTCGTTGTTAATCCGGGCCACGGCCGATCCGGCATGAAATTTTGTAATTTTGTATTGGACATGATGGACATGACGATATAGTCCTTCTAGGCGAAGACGCTGACAAAATGCAGAGTCTTCTAAACACCTTGAACAGCAATCTACGAATGTTTGGCATGCGATTCGCTCCCGCCAAATGCAAGATGATGTTACAGGACTGGACTACATTGACGCCTAGTTTAAAAATAGGAAGTGAAGTGGTAGAGCACGTTGACCGCTTCACTTATTTGGGAAGTACCATCAGCCCCAACGGGCTGATCCCTGACGAAATCGCAGCACGAATACAAGGGGCTCGTTTCGCATTTGTTAGTTTACGCCGACTCTGGCGTTGACGAGATGTTTGACTATCGACCAAAGGGCGGGTGTATTGCTCATCAGTCCGCTCCGTCCTCCTTTATGGTTGTGAGACCTGGCCACTGAGAGTGGAAGACATGAAAAGACTAGCTGCCTTTGATCATAGGTGCCTGCGTTCTATTTCCCGTGTGAAGTGGCATAATAAGGTGAGCAACATTGAGGTTAGGCGTAGAGTTCTAGGCAAACAGGGGAAATCAATCGAAGAAGTCGTGAAGCTACATCGACTGAGATGGTTAGGACATGTGTTACGTATGCCAAGTCATCGCCTCCCTCGACGAGCAATGTTAGCGGATATAGGGTCAGGCTGGAAAAAAGCTAGCGGCGGTCAAACAAAAACTTGGCATCAGTCAATGAAATCCACAACAGTTGGTCTTAGCCACGTAGGAAGGTGTAGACTTCCAGGCTGGGGTCCTCGGGACGGCAAAAATCTATGGTTGGAAACTATTGGTGACATGGCTCAAAATCGTTCTCAGTGGCGCAGATGCATCCACTCCCTGTGATTTATGATCTTCAATGAAATTGTTTTGTATTTCTTTATTACTCCTTTGTCTCACACCTCTGCTCACTGTTTCTATTATGCTTTTCTTGTACTTTCTTCTCTTGCTTCGCGTGCTACACGGAATGTGGCGACTTGAACTTCCGCACATTTGTGCAAAGTTCTATGTCGAAAACAGACAGACAGACAGTTAACAATCTGATGGACTCACTTCGGCCGCAACTACTATCAAAGGTTTTTGGCTCTTCTACGTCATATTTTCTTATTTCTTTGGCCCTCACAGCAACTCTGCCAGTTATAATCTTGGTTGTTAAAATTACAAATACTTAGGATGACCTAAACTGTATTGGACTGACAAGCTAGCTCCCCAAAGGCTTTCATCCATCAGGATCATTCATCCTCGAATTAAGAAGTCTTCCCGCCTCCAATGTAGAATGACTCCTTGATGTTCATTGGAGTTTTAGCAGAAGTGCAGTTGTGTTTCTGTGAGGTTAGTTTACTATTTACGCGCTCAGCCTCTTATCTCTTTTCATGCTTATGATCAGCTAGTAAGTTAGGTGAAGTCCACAAGTTAGATGTATTTACTCAATGAAATGCCTGATATATCATCCCAGGTAATGATATGACACCCGCAATGCTCACCATATTTTTATGATGCAACAAAAAAGGGCCAGGTAATTTTCCTGTTGCCTGGATCATTGTTTGTCAATACGAAGAGATCCTGTAAAATTTTTGAAAACAGGTGGAAACAAGTAATACCTGAATTCAGATTATTTGAACAGCAAGTTGGTGTTTAGCCAAGAGAATTCGCCTATTCAGCTGCCTCCAGAATAGTATCGGCATAATATAAGATGTAGTGAATGAAACACAGGCCTACTATAGAGGCCTAAAAAGACTGCACATAGTCTGAAAATGAACAGTTTTAATATACGAGATCAACTTCTACCTAAGTATAACAAAAAGCCTGATCATTTCTAATCCTTTTGAACGATATCGGAAAACAGTAATGTCTGATTTACCTTCAGCACTCATGAACTCAGTCGATTAAATCATCAATTGTGAAGCGTTGCAGTTAAGCAATTCTATAGCTGTCTTTACAATGAAATAAAAAGTGAATAGTGATATACTTCAGTCACCTTGCATATATCATCGTCTTTCGTAATAAGACGTTATGATTAAATTCCCAAAGCTTTTCATCAGATCGACCATTGAAACAAGGAAATACCTCCCGACTGTGATTATAGTTGTGTACATTATTCCCATTATTCCCATTTAGTTCTGAGTGAAGCATCTAGGGAAAACTGCACATCACCCCTTCACTTAGTTCTCTGCAGCCCCATTAAAATGACTCCACGACTGCTCATAAACCTTTATTTATTCCATGGAGGATTTAATCATGAGCTGACATCAGTTAGAGAACCCCTGGAAAACCTGGGAGTAGTGGACTGCTGTCTCGTCAGCCTAGTTTGGGACTCTTCATCAGTACACACCCACCGGGATTCGAACCCAGGACCTTCTGGTTACAAGGTGAGCTCGTATACCATTGAGCCACTGGGACCCGATCCAATGGTCCTTGAATTCAGACTTCTGCCAGTTCACGACATAACGCGGCCACTTCGCAATGTCTTCTTCGATGAGTTACTGCCTCGCCTTGTAACCAGAAGGTCCTGGATTCGAATCCTGGTGGGTGCGTACTGATGAGGAGTCCCAAACTAGGACGAAACAGCTGTTCAGTACTCCCAGGTTTTCCAGTGGTTCTCTAACTGATGTCAGCTCATGATCAAATCCTCCATGCAATCAAACAAAATCCCTACAAAAACCAATACCTTTATTTATTCCTCATACAATCGCTTACGCGTCACATTCAGACTCCATTCTTATCTCTTTCATTTCGGCTTTCACTCAAGTGTCTTTCTAGTGTCTGGTGTCACTCACAAGGTATCCTCAGCGTACGTTTAATCCATCTCTGTCTCCTCTGACTTGTCTGTGAGGCTAACGGTTGTTGGTTGGTTCATTGCTAATCGTTTGTTGTTATCTGATCTTCAGGATGAAGCAAAGGCATCTGTTGAAGAACGTCTGCAGTAGCCTGCTGAAAAGGGTTTTCGTGAAGCTTCAAGTCCCTATACCATTTAAAAGCTCTGATCTACCGCTAATTAAACAGTAGAGATTATCAGTCAGAGATGAATCTAAGAAATGTTAAAGATTTATATTAGCATTTCGCAAACATCAGTCTCTAGACACTGAGATTTATTCAAGCTGAAATAATTCTATTTTTGTGCATAAATGTCCATTGTAAAACCCTGAAGCATTCATTAACGAACAAATAGACAGTGGAGAAACTGAAAGGTGATCACAGGATTTAAAAACAAGCACCAAATTAGGACGAATAAAGACTTGATAGATTCATGGAACTACAGAAGAACACGTCATCTGAATACTGTACAAATAGTGTCAAGTAAAAACTTTTGATGATTAATAAAAAATCCGAATAAATCTGCTTAAGAAGCTGTGGTAGCTTACACAACGAAATGTTCAAAAGTCTGTTTTTGATTTTTTCTGAAACATGCTGGGATTAATTTAAATAATTTATAATGAATCAATCTGACTCGGTGCTCAAATTATTTCAGGAAGGTCGTAACACCTACGGTGAAGTAGGCATTCTTGAGTTTTGGAGATAACCAACAGACCGAGATTGAACTTACATTCCTAGCCTGGAATTTGAAATATCACTCAGTTCACCTCCATCTCTATTCGCATTGGATTGGTTGTTTCGTTGTCAGAGGTCCTTGTTGAATTGAATTTTTGATTTTCCCGTCGATTGTTTGGACCGAAGTGCTCGGTCTCAGGTTGATGCACAAGAGGTGGCTCTCGTGGCCCAAGTGGTCTAGTGGATAACGCTTTGGCGTTTGAAACTTTGGGTACTGAGTTCAAGCTTCGGTGGGAACGTCATCACTCACTGAGAAATGCAGGTGCATCCAGTGACGAGTCCCAAATAGGACGAAATTCGCATCCTGGATTCCACTGTTAGCCACCATCCACCAATTGTAGAGGTCCTTGTTGTTTATTATTCACAGCTGACTATCTAATCCTCAACATGGGTCCAAAGATGGAAGCTGCTAATGAATGTCTGCGGCAGGCTGTTTTAATGCTTTTGTGATGTACATGCCATATAGAAGCAAAGAATTGACATAAATGTTGAAGATTAGAATCTTCTTCCATATCCTGAGTGTAGCAGACATCTCCATTGATTTCACATTAATGAATGTCTGTTCTGCTTTTATCGAACTTATCTTTGATGTTGTTATCTATGCCACATGTAGATGAGACAAGGCTGCTCAGTTAGGCAAGTAAAAGTGATGACTTTGATGGTAACTAGTGTTTTCTATTGGTTGGTGGTTGTTTTCATCAACTTTTTGTTCTCTGTGGCCACAGATAGCCCTGGCTTCTGTGGATCTTCTGCCAAATTGTCGAACTTTGCCTGGAGATATATTAATCATCCTCAAAGTTGAGACCTTCCAGAGTTTTTTCCCGTCAATACAATGTATGCCTTTCTTTACGCTTCTCACACATTATCACTTTCAACAAATGGACTCTGCAAAACAGTGAAGTGTTGGTTAATAAACTAATAGTTTGATTATAATTTCTACTTCTCTTTTGAATTATATTCGTTTTTTGTTGCTATGGGTACCAGTTTTAAAACTGTCAACCAACATAATAATGAAAATTGAATTGAATTTTTGATTTTCCCGTCGATTGATTGGACCGAAGTGCTCGGTCTCAGGTTGACATGTCGGCTTCTTGTGCAGATGCTTCGACGATGTCAGAGCATTTAATTAGTATACAATTGGTGGATGGTGACTAGCAGTGGAATCCAGGATGCGCATTTCGTCCTATTTGGGACTCGTCAGCTGGATGTACCTGCATTTCTCAGTGAGTGATGATGTTCCCACCGAGGCTCGAACGTCAAAGCGTTATCCACTAGACCACTTGGGCCACGAGAGCCACCTCCTGGATTCCACAGATAGCCACCATCCACCAACTGTATAATAATGATGAAAACTTTTCATTATATTCTGAGGCACTCACTGGTAATCTCTTCAGACAGAAACGGGTGGTTGGGGAATTTATGCTATACAGCATGATTAAAAATGAAGTTGTCTTTGGCTTTAAATAGCCAGTCAGTGTAACCGATTCTCATGCATTTACACGAGTGGATATTTGAGACCCTATTATAACATAACATATCTTCAGGGACAGTAGAATACTCCTGCATGAAGTCATACGGGAAATATTCAGTTGAAGGGAAACGCTGACTTACTTACGTAATAAAATATACATTTTTGATTGGAAAATAGAAGCTAGTGTGACGTTTCTACTCCTTTCCTTGATGCAGAAAGAATAATATCAGTCAGGTTTGCAATTTATTTTATTTACAATTGAAATTTACAACTTAGTTTAATAGATGATGTTGGTTTTGTAGCAATTATAACAGCTGCGAGAAACACTACAATGGCCAAAGTGGACGTCCCCTTCGTCTTCGTATCCAAAAACATAAGCTAGCCGTCAAAAGACATGATATACACTCCCTCGCTCATTCACTCACTACATACAGACAACCACGGACATCAATTCGACTGGGACAACGTTCAAATATTAGACAGCGGAAACAACAAGAATGCTAGAGAATTTTTAGAAGCTTGGCATTCCAGTGAATCATCAATCAATAGACACATCGAGATAGACAAAATTTATCAACCAATAAGAAAGAATTCTCACACACAAAGCGTCAAAGTTCAAGTCACAGAAACAATCAGTTCCAATACAAGTAACCTAGAAGGTGTGAAAACACACATAAACAACCAATCACGTCCAAGGTCACCAGGAGGAATGATTAATAAACTCGTGGAGAAACCTAAAAGCTCACTTCAAATTGAAGTATGCGCTGAAGATGTCACCCAGTAAGGTGATGAAAGCTTCGCAAACTAACTATCCAGCTCAGAGAACAAAACCACATCAAAATTATCCACCTGAGCTACAAATCTTCTCTATCATATCTAAATCTTACGAGCGGGATACGCTTCTCTCTGTTCGAAAGTGGGAAGACTTCGCCAAAAGGCAAGGATCCACCAGAGAACAATTATTCTTTCTCCATGAGTGCCTTCGTCATTCAATCCTACCAAACAGTGTAAGATACAAGCCACCAGTCAACTGCCCAATGGGATGGAAATTGGCCGAACAATGTGGAAGACGAATGGTCAAATTAATGATTACGGACGCACATTATCGGATCAACAAATATCAACAAATAATAGATGTCCAAAAAGCAAAATTAGAGAAAACCCTCAACCAAGAACACCTGTCAACGCTGATCACCGCAATTACACTGTCAAGTGGAAAACACAGAGAACAAAGACGAAGAGTCCTCAAAACCAAGCTAGCCAAGATTAGAAAACAACAACCAGACAATACGCCCATAGACTGCGTAGTCAACCTATCAAAACAACCACTATCAAAAATGGAACAACAACTACTACAAAAAGGATTAAACTACAACACCGGAGATGCTTCAAAAACTGATTTCTTCGCTGCCCTTGAATCATTACTCAAATCATCAAACTTGAACGAGGAAACACAGGAAGAGATACGCCAAACAATTGTACCAATGGTCAAACAGAAAAGACAACACACACAACTCAACT